TGGCGTCCGGCTTCTCGCTCCGAGGCGGCGGGACGGACGCTCCCGGGGACTCCCTGGCCCGCGGCCGGCCGCGCTCGGACAGCGCTCGCCGGCGAGCGGGCAGGCGCAGCATGTCGGCCGCCGTGGCGTGCCTGGACTACTTCGCCGCGGAGTGCCTGGTGTCCATGTCCGCGGGCGCCGTGGTTCACCACCGCCCGCCGGACCCCGAGGGCGCGGGCGGAGCCGCCGGCTCGGAGGTGGGTGCGACGCCTCCGGAGCCTGCTCTGCCGGGTCGGGGACCACCGGGGCCCGCGCGGGTCCCCCAGCTCCTGCAGGTCCCCGCCTCCAGCTCCGGCGCGGGCTGCGCCGCGCCCCACCTGCTGGCTGCAAGCGTCTTGGCTGATTTGCGCGGCAGCGCTGAGGAGCGCTATGGGGCGAATTCGAGGGAAGTTCTGCGCGCCGCGTCTGGCTCCTCCGGCCCGGCCCGGGGCTCGGGGCGGTCCCGACGCCTCAAGCCCGACCCAGCCTCCAGCACAGAAGCGGTCCCAGGACCCTCGGGCTCATTTGGCGCGCCCGCCCTCCCAAGCGTGCCAGCGGTCTCGGCCGTGCCCGCCGTCGCCTGTGGGGTGTCCGGCAGGGCCCCAAGGCCCAGCGCCACCCCGGCAGCCGGTCAGATGCCCCGGAGGAGGCCGGCAAAACCTTCTGCCAAGCGCCACCAGTGCCCCTTCCCGGGCTGCACCAAAGCTTACTACAAGTCATCGCACCTCAAGTCCCACCAGCGTACCCACACGGGTGAGCGCCCCTTTTCCTGTGACTGGCTCGACTGCGACAAGAAGTTTACGCGTTCTGACGAGCTGGCCCGCCACTACAGGACCCACACGGGTGAAAAGCGCTTCTCCTGCCCCCTCTGCCCCAAGCAGTTCTCCCGGAGCGACCACTTGACCAAGCACGCTCGCCGCCATCCGACTTATCATCCAGACATGATAGAGTACCGGGGACGTCGTCGCGCACCCCACATCAATCCAGAACCTACCAGTGCGGCGGAAAGTTCTGGCTCTGGCTCCGGCTCTGGCTCTGGCTCTGGCCAGACGCCCAACCTCAAGACCTACTTGTAGGACAGTTATTGCTGTCTGTCATCCCCTCAAGGACCATTCTCCCAAGGCTAATGTCTCCGCTTTCTCTCTGCCCATACCACGTTTTCAGAGTTATCAGACTGAGGCACAGACTGAGTCCTCCACTCTGAGGGTGGGTCCAGATGGGCATGTTGGACTTGGGGAGGGACTGACTGCCAGAAAATAGCGGAAATTCTTGCAACCCAAATACCATCCTAAAAGTAGGGGTTGCCTCGAGACAGACCTCAGGAACTTGTGAGAAGGGATGAACTTCTTCAGTACTCTGTAGATTACTGAAGATTTTCCCTGCTCTGGGACCAGAAATGTGAAACTGGATTTCTCAGATGCCTGAAGAGCTCCCAGTCTCGAGGGACTGGTGTCTCCCTCACCTGTCAGGATGGACCTTGGAGAGGGTGTCAGGGGTGGCAGTCTTGGAAATGTCCAGGACTGGGTTGGTGAGAGGCCTTTGGAAACAGAAATGATTTCTATTTCTGTAAACAGCAATGTTTACTAACTTATTTTTAGTATCTTTTAAACAAAGATTCAGTGTTGATAGGACGCTGCTGTTCTCCCTCAGTTGCCCCAGCTACCTCTGGTAGGGGAGGCTATGTAAGCGTCCATGTGGATGTGTGGCTGGCAGATGCTTCTTGGTATCTGAGGAGTGGTGTGATTCTGTTTGTAGGTTTTATAGCATGATTTGAAACCATGTTTTTGCGTCGTAGCAATTCTCCCAATTTGAATTCCTGTTTACAAATGGTAACTTTCAGGGTCTCTCAGAATGAGATTAGTTAAACAGTGTGGAAACAAACATAAATGTATCAGAAAATGATGGTCATCCAGTTGACAACCCATGCAACTTTTGGGTGGGATAGGTCTAAAATAAGACCTTGCAAAACCATGGATAACATTCAGGGAAACAGAGGCATTTGGTCCCAGCTGCCCAACCTCAAATTATCTCAGGGGTGATAGATTCTGTTCATTTCTTAGTGGCTAACTAGTGATTTATTTCCCTCAAGGTCTGAGCATTGTGTTTTGCTACAGGTATGTTGGTGGGTGGGAGGAGGCAAGATGAAAGATTGATTTCTTCCAAAGAGTTGGCTGCCTTGGATGTGGTGAAGGACTAGCACGGTGATAGCTTTTCTTAAATACTAGGATCCTTCTCTGTGAGGTCCCTCCAAGGTTACATCCTCAGGGTCCTTCTCCCCCAACCCCTTAAAGAAATCAGGCACCAACAGTGTTTATTTTTCCTACTATGTGTCCCTGCTGCTGTAGATGAAATAATTGACCACTCTGCTTGTATTTGTGTGAATGTGTATATATGTGATTCTTTAGAGATGAGGCTGAAAGGCATTTCCCACCCTGGTGAGGTCTCCTCTGGTCCCTTCCTGGATATCTTGTAATAATCTATTGATCATTTTTGTGGAGGATGCCGTAATCTCAGAGAATCATAACAGGTACCTATTAAACAAATAGCTTGCACCTATTTTGCAGATGAAAATATTGATGTCTTTATCATCTCAATGTCATATGTTGAATTGCTGGCAAGAGCCAAGATTAGAACTCAGGTGTCTGGCTTTCTAATTACTCTTTCCCTCACATTTCCCTCCCATCTTCCTCTACTCCATGGAAGAAAAGACTTCACGCTTCCTTCCTGCCACTGGAATTTCTTCTTACCCTATTCCTTTATGTATCTTCAAATTTGGGGTCTTTTCCTGAACTCTTTGCCTATTGTACTTAACCTTTTTCTTAGCAGGCTACATTCATTTCCATTCTGTACACTGTATGGACTTAAATGTGAGAATGATTCTTTGATATCTGGGGAGAAACCTTTTTATTTTTAACTGCTAGAATTTCAGTGTCATTTCATTTTTCTTTGTCTGGTTGGGGAGTTCCAGTATCCTTCGGAGCATGATATAAAACATAGGACTGGGACACTGCTAAGTCCTACATTTTATGTGGGAGGGATTTTTTTTTTCAGTCATTTATGTATTTATTTGGTGCAGGGTCTCACTACAAAGTTTGGACTCAGTGATCCTCCTGTCTCAGCCTCCTTAATGCTGGGATTACAGGCGAGCACCACCATGCCCAGATTCACTGGCCAGCATGGCACACCCAGGGTTTAGTGGCTGGCGCAACATGCGGTACTGCAAGAACCCAGGTCTTTGTGCTTGCCCAGCAGGTGCTTAGACTGCCAAACTATCTCCCCAGCCTGAGGGAGGGATTCTTAATAAAAACACTAACAGCATAGTCTGTGACCATGAAGAGGATCAGTGTCTCTGGTTAAGAGTATAAAAGGGCAAGTGGGGCGGTCCTTGGGTTATATATGGGAAGAGAAAGTCCTCAATTGTGGAGGTGTTTTTTGGGAGTAGGAAGTGTCATCCTTTTGCTGTCTTTGCTGGGGCTGGGTAGGTGTGATACTACAGGCCACATTGAAGGCTACAATTTTTCCTTTGTCCCCCTCATTAGGAAATCCATTGGCTAAGTGGACTAAAGACACTGAGAGGAGAGGAGCTCCCATTTACTCTTATGGAATTGAACACAAATAGCAACAACCAAAAATTAAAAATACTAACTTTTCAAACTACCCACTGATGACTGAGCTCCCAAATACTGTCCTTACTTGGGTTCTGAGGACATTTGTCTGAGGATGGGCACTGACAACCTTTATGTGATATATCTTTCACTGATAGGCTAGTTCCTCTTAGGTCTTAATGGTGGAGAGGCAGAAACCCAGGACCCTGGAAGAGCCTGTTAACAATGGCAAGATTTTTAGGATGGTCTTTTTTGGTCTGACTATTGTTATTCTTTTCACTCTAGTGAACAGACTTCTTTAAGAGTAGTTATCAGTGAAATACCTTGAAAGGAGCTTCCTAGATCTACTGTTTCTTTTCCTTTTTGTCCTCAGATGGAGCTCTGTGACCCAAATGTATCTAGAGATTGGTTGGAGTCTGGCTGAACCTCGGGGTCTTGGCCCCACCCCTGTTATCCTAAAGTGCAATATAGGAATGATCCAGTAACAGAATCTATTAATAGAAATCTTCCTCAATTCTGGGTTGGAAGCTGAGAATGAATTCCAGGTCAGACCTTGGTTGTGAGGGAGCTGAAATCTGTGCTCCTGTTGGGGCAGGGTAAAAGAACAAGTTTTGCCTCTGCCACAAGGACAAGAATCTGTCATTGGTCCTTATTTCTCTATTTTTCCAGGAGAGAATAATATTTGAATGTCATTTCTTGCCCCATTTGTACCTTTCCCTTTTGTAAGAAAAAATATGGTGTTTTTTTGATGGAACCCTAAAGAAGAGGGTTATTGTATATATATATAATATATATATATTATATATATATTATATATATATACACACACATATATATACACACATATATATACACATATATATATATATATTTCCTTGTCTTTTTTGCACTTTCCTACCTATAATTTATGTGCACTCTACTCTGATCCTGCTTTCATATGGTAAGCACAACTGATGAGACCAGGTCTGCTTTCCAAAGGCAGGTCTCAAGAGCCCCTCTCACCTGCTTTGGGGGCGCCAGTGCCCCTTGCTGCTATCTGGGTAAGTGTTTCCTTGGCATATTTTCCTCTTGATGGGTTACCTCAAGTCTAGGAATTGGGAGGGACTGAAGAGGCACTTTATTAGTTCAGTTTTGATTATGATACCGCTTCCCTAGCAGTTGTGATATTTTGATATTTGTTGGTCTGATTCATATATCTATTATTGCTTTAGTTGAACATTTGGAGGAGGTAAGGGATATGATTAACTTTCTCCTTTAAACACAAACACATTTGAGTTTATGTTAGATGTTAAATCCTGAGAAATAGGGATCCCAACTGGAACTAGGGAACCAAAATATGGTATATAGATGTTAGATGTCTACTGTATCAGGAAACAGGTTTTAATGCTTTAGTGACTTGCATCTTTCAGGTTTTTTTGCTTTTCAAATCCAAATTGTCAGGGCTGGGAAGATAGCTCAGTGATCTAAGCACCTGCCTGGTAAGTGCAAGGTCCCGAGTTCGATCCCTGTTACCACATGCCATGCCAACCCTGGAATCCCAGGCATGCCAAACTGGCTGTGGTGGTGCACGCCTGTAATCCCAGGAGTGGGGCGGTTGAGACAGGAGGATCACTATGAGTCTGAGCTACATAGTGAAACCCTGTACCAAAAAGAAAAATTTAAACTGTTTATGTAGCTAGTGTCTGCCTGCCGGTCACTATTTTTTAGAGGCTTTGGGCATAGCTACAGAGGCCACTTGTGGCTGATCTTGAGTCACACAGATGTGGCTGAGATAAGCTCACTGCAAAGAGGGAAGATTTTGTACCACTGAATGAATCAGTTCGTGTTGCCTTTATTCTCGACCACAATGACTGTGAAGACTTTAGATTGAATAGCCTAAATTCCACACATACTGTAGTTAGAAATACAAGTTTAGGAAATTCTAGCCCTTAACTGTGTGAAAGCTTATTAGGAAGCATTAGATCAAGTTTACCCAATTTCAGTCTACTTTAGCATCTTGACTGAATTGCATCCTTTTGTAGGGATAAGAAGATAAATGGGAGGGACCAAGTTCTTCATTTCATAGACGTTATATGTATCTTCTGTTTCTGTGGCCTATGTAAGCCCCAGGAATGGAATTTGAGGAGTTCCTGAAATTCCCTTTATGTTCAACCATAGAAGAATAATGGATTTTATCACGAATGTACAAAGAGGAGTGGAAATATTTGTTATATGGAGCTTTGTAGAAAGGAAAAGCAAAATCAAGAAGAAAAGTGTGGTGCCTACTCTTCTGATAGGACTCAGCAATATTCAGGGAATTAAGTAAGAACTATGTTGGTTTCAGATATATAGTTAGATCTTGAAGTCAGAAGTAGTGAAAGTGAAAAAAAAAAAAGAAAGGCATCCTGATTAAGCTGGAGAAAGATAAGGATTTCTTTAGAATGATTGTGTTCTTTGATTACAGTGTTGATATGAAAGGAAAAGGAAAGATC